TGTTGATCCCTATGTCAAACCTCACCAATAAAGTGAAAACAAGTAGCCTAGAAAGCTGTTTATAATAGCTTTTCTGAAGGATAATGACTCTGCTTTCCTTTAGCAACATTTCTGAAACATTCGTTCTCCCAGCATTTTCACATTAGAAAAAAAAATAATAATAACAACATGTAATTGTAACATGGGAATACCGCGAGAACAGCAGTTTGGCAGGAAAAGGGGATATTTCAAAATAAGTTCCCCAGCAAGAGAAGTTCTGGCAGATGCACAATTCTGGATCATATTATCCAAATTGTTGGATTCTGGAAGATTTGGGGGTTTTCTTTTGTGGTTCCCATACTCTTAATGGAATGGTAGTAGATGTTCATGGTCCAAAATTATGTTGCTTCTCCTTCCTATTACTAAAGTGGGAAAATAAACATGCAGAGGCAAACCATTATATTAAACATTCCTCCCCCTTGAAGTGATTTTAACAGCATAATAGCTGCGTCAGGTATAAAACTTGTGTTGGAGTAATGCCTGTTCTCATCTGTAATGCTATTAACTGAAGATCATCTAAGAAAGCCCAAGATTCCAACTCTTCTCTGGTCAGAACAGTTTTAGCACCAATTAAGTCTCTCAACTTGTTAAGAATGGTACTTAAAGCTAAGGCCTTTGGCTTGTGTGTGTTAAAACTTAAATTTCATATTGTTATTCAAAATTCTTATTCAAATATTCTATTTAGGCTTGAAAGGCAAGATCACACATCAGTGGGAAAAAAAAGAAGAAAACATAAAAGAAATATAAGTAAATACTGGAACACCTGGAAAGCTAGTACAATTCAGGTTAACTGCTCACGGAGGTGAAAATATTAGAATTAAGAGTGATTCCTCTAGTCTCATACATAAATCAGATTAAATGTTTTAGAGTTTAAACCCATATCTCTTTCGGCTCTTTTCTTTTTCAAATAAAAAGTTTTAAGTGGGAATGGAAAAAAACTGCTCATTGGCTTAACATAAATCTTTAAACTGCAGGAAGCTTCACCCTCAAAAAGGAGTTGAATCTCTGAGGAAAAAGAAAAGGCTGAATTCTATTTTTCATAAATGATGGATTATTGTACCACACTGTGTATTTTCCAGTAAAGTGTCCTTTTATTTGCACTGTGTGATTACAAGTTTCTAAAAGTATGTGTGGGGTCACTTGGGTGCTGTGGGAAAATGGAAGGAACACTGTTCTGTTAAAATCAGTAGTGAAATCAGAAGCAAACTATGTCCTGATTATCATAGGCATGTGTTTAAATTTGCTTTCCTTAATTGGTTATGTTGTATTTACTTAAAATGAACAATTTGGCAAGTTTTTCTCCCTTGACAACAGAAAAGCGTAAACTGTTTTATAAGTTTGGCTGTTAAAATCAGATTTGTAAACCACAATATTCAAAGACTTTTACTGCTGTTTACAGGGACCCAGTGTTGGACCTTGCTTTATAACCATGCACTTTTACATTTTTATTTTGTATTCATAGTGCTTTCAAGTTATTTGGTTAATAACAAGTATGCTATATATTATAGCCATCTATTGACTTCAAATTCTGCATAACTCTTCTTAGAACAAAATGAGTGGGATGAATGATGGCATAGGCCTTATAATTTGACATGTCATCTGAGGACAATTATTTATGGCATCAGGAAACGGAAGTTGACGTTCTAGTCTGTCTCCAGGAAAGTCATCATTAGAGGCAACTTTGGAGAGTTCAGCTATGTTAAAAACTGTGTAATCATATCCAAGACTCTGCTAATTTCTCAGTACATATGAGAAGGAAACAAGATAAAGCATTTAAAAGCATATTTCCATTTTCTTTGGAAAACCAATGCACCTTACACATTTCTCACATGTGGAGCCAGATGGTGGTATTGAAAACAATATAATATACATATATATCTCTCTAATTAAGAATACTATCACTAGAATTCCTGGGGGTTTCCAAAAAGATATAATTCACTACATAATTATTTTCATAATCTAGCATTTATACTATGTGTGTGTGTGGTTTAATTTGCAAAGTATTTTTTAATCACATCATTTTTACTAGTTCCAAATGGCAGAAAATATACCTAGTTTGGCCCTGCCTTTCTTGGCATTTTGTCACGGGAAATGGCAAGGTTTTGTGGTGACACCAGAAATAGAAAATATTACGTTTGGTAACCTGTGAAAACTTAGATTGATTATTCTATTTCATTCCAAATATGGACTTGAGACAAAAATTGGCCCAAGCAGAGTTATTATGTATGATGGCAAGTGTTCTTTAGCCTCCAACACTAGAACCCAGACCTATGGGACTGGACCACAGCTATCAGTTGAAGCAGATCATATATTGCTGGTAGTAACTGCAATGACTAGACCTAGAATGCAAGTTGGTGGGATATCATGAAAGCACCGTATGTTAAAATGCTCAGAATGATTCTTCCAACTATACAATTTTGAACCAGTTAATGCCTGATATTCATGATCCTATAAAAGCAAGTTTTACTTGCTTGAGTTCTAAGGGTGTTTGTCATTTCTCTGAATTGACCTCAGGTCAATCTCCCCTCTAGAATACCTTAGTTCCTTGTAGTTTTATTATACTCCTTACCATGCTGTTTCATAATTACAGAGGCCATGTGCATTTTATCCACAACAGTTAAATCCAGCACTGCCATGTATGTAATACGTGGTCAATTTGTGTTTTGATTTGTTTTGTTTTTTATCAGCTACCAGCACTGTCCAGAAATATAATGTGAGTCATTTGTATAATGTAAAATCTTTTAGTAGCCACATTTTAGAAAGCAAAAATAAACAGGTTTTAATAATATATTAATTTTAACAAGATATTTTTCTTAACCAAAATAATCCAGAACATTTTAACATATGGCTCAAGCTACATTTCAGGTGTTCAATAGCCCCAAGTGACTAGTGACTGCCACGCCGATAGCACAGGTCTAAAGCACTGCTTCTCAAATGATTTAAGTTAAGATACATAGAGAAAATGATAACACTTATACTACTCACTGGGAGAAATGAATAAGACTGCTCACAGATGAAGAAGACACGGCTACCCCAGGGGCTCAGGCTGCCCTGGTCTTGCTTAATTAGCCTGAGTGCTCAGGAACTCTGTAACTTTCACACCTGTGTAACCCATTCTTCCAGGCACAATAAATGGGAAACTCTGGTCTATGACAGTAAGTCCCAACCATTTCCAACGACAGACCCACTCACCCTCCTCACATGATAGTCATTGTACTTTTACTACCAATTGATTTAATAAATAGCTGGTATTAGCCCGCTAGCTAGCTAGCTAGGTGATAGAAATAGACATAGATGATAAATCAGATATGTATTTATATATATGCTATTTATAGATAGATAGATAGCTTTTTCCTTTCACAGTTCCTTTACATTTTCTCAGTGTGCGGATAGACGAACGCCCACCAATAAATGAGAACTTAAGTGGGTCTTATCACTTTTCCAATTAGTTGAAGGCAGTGATTCTCAACAGGGAGCGATTTTGCAACACCCACCCCCCAGGAACCATTTGGCAATGTCTGGAGACACGTTTTTGATTGTCACAACTGAGGAGCGGGTAAGACTGGCATATTATGGGTAGAGATCAGGGATACGGCTCAACATCCTACACAGCCTGCAGAGGACAGGCCTCTCCTACAAAGGATTGTCCAGCCTAAAATGTCAGTAATAAAAAAGTTGAGAAGGACCACTTTAAGGTAATATAAAGTATTATGGTCGTTTTGAGTGAAAAACATTGTATCAATTTAGTAATTTATAGCACTCAGTCTCATGTGTTAATCAAAACTTTGAACTTAATTGAAAAATAAAACTCCACCCTTCTCCTGGCTATGAGGTGAGCAGCATGCTTTCCTCCTTCTGTCCTTGCCAGCTTTGCACTTCACCTTAACTCCCCATCTTGCTAACTCAAGTTTGCAACTGCTTTGTGGTTAAGGCTGGGGGAAGCAGGATGCAAAAATGCCTTTACTTGGCCAATTATAAGAAGGTTTCTCACACTCTGGACAAAGTGGATTTTTAAAAGCAGACCTACATTTGTTAAAAACAATACCTAATAAAGTGTCCCACATTCTCACATTACATCACCTATTGGGTTAAGACAGTGGGGGGGTTCAATAAAGATCTACATCTTATCTCACAGACACAGCAAGTTACTGCGGTCATTAATGATAAGACACCTTGAATGTGTTCGGACTCTGGTTTCTGAAAAACCAGACCTTATGTGTTACATTCATCACCGAATTCACATCCTTAAGCTTGGATCCTGATGATTAGTAGACATTCAGCAAATATTTGTTCAGGAATGAATTTGACACACACCTGACTTTAAAGCTAAAACTGAGAGTAGGAAGCTGAGGAGAAGGAACGGATGGAGACATGGGAAAAATTTGAGGCAAATTTGTGTTTCTGGATTTTACCTAGAACTGGTGGTAATTATACATTTTTAAGGAGAGTAAGAAATATCTGCTTCAGAAAAAGAAATCACTTTGGGTTAACATAAAAAAGAAGCTTGAGAAAATTATTCAAGTAAGCAAGACCTTCAAAAATGCCTGCGTTATCTAGAGATAGTATATAATCAGACTTAATTGAAATTAATAATGCTAGAGTTTTCCCCCATAATGTAGATGAATTTCTTTTTATCCTGACCATAATTTTTGTGTATAGACACAGATAAGTGGCATTATCCTTGTAAAGGTTATCATGTTAAATATAAGGGAATGAAAATGAAAATATATTGTGAATTTATGGAGCTAACCTCATTTTCATTGTACATTCATGTTGCAGCAGGACTAATACTTTTCATGTGGGCAAATTTTACTTGTATGCTCTATCTAGACAGAAGAGCCTGAGCTTTTATTTCAGGTAGTTGTTCCATAACTACTGTTTTCTATTCATATTTGCATAAAGTAATAATCATAAAGAAGAAATTTACTGAAAGCCTCTTCTTTTTTTGTTGTAATCTCCAGTGTTCAGACTGCATCATAGTGCTTCCGATACAAGCGACAAAAACCGAGTTAAAAGCAGATTAAAGAAGTTTATTACCCGAAGACCTTCCCTGAAAACTCTGCAAGAGAAAGGACTTATTAAAGGTATAGAGCATTTATACTTGTACTGTAACTGGATAAATGAATGTGCCTCTGTGTCCATAGCTAATCAACTCTAAAAGAATATTAAAATATTTTATTCTTCTTGGGTTGCTTATTAAATTTTCTACTGTATAACAGAAGAAAAAGCAGTTGTCCAGAAAATGAATCCTGAGAAAATAAAGATGATATCATGTAACCATCAAACAAAATAACTACTTTTGCCCTCAGAGAATCTATACTGTACACTAGGAAGAGAGAACAGATTTCCTGTTGAAATGGCCCCATGTGTTCCATTTGTCTGGATAGTCCTAGTTTACACCTATTGTCCCAGTATAATTATTAACCCAGCACCTTTCACTCTCAGAAGTGTCCTGATTTGGATAAAAGTTTCTCTGATCACCCTAGTCAGAGTCTTAAGTAAGTGCTAAGAAGAAAGTCTAAGACAAAATAGTGTCATGAAAATTTATGGATACTGAGAACTTGAGGGCCAAAAACTCAAACTACACTGAAATAACTAAGTACTTTTGCAAATATATCTAAAGTGGGGAATAAACTATTCTAAACTATTCTAGCCACCACACTAGAAAAACATCTCTGGCATTAGACTAATTAGAATTCACCGTTCGCTCCTTCTGACCCTGAACAAGTTATGATAATCTCTGAGCTTCAATATTCTCATGCACATCATTGAGAGGAATAAATGAGATAACCTATGTAAAGCATTTAACAGAGTTTCTAGAACAAAAGTGATTATTCAATAAATGCCCTCTGCTATTAATAAAACTATTATTCATTGTTATCACTGTTAGTGTGTCAGATAGATGAATGGATGGATGGATGGATAGAACCAGTGATATAGTAGATTTCTATAACTGGAAATCACCTTACAAATCATGTAGACAAAATATATTCTTTTTCTAATAATAAAACATATGCATGGAGTTCATTATTCTCCCTACTTTTTGAATTTTCTAATTTATGGGTAGCTTTTGAAAATTAAACATAAGAAAGTATGTGAAAATGAGCTAAAAAAATTTCTAACCCTGAACAGAAAGCTGAAAGACTAATCTTTATGAAAAGCAAAAGGTGATTTAATATTAATATATAACCATTTCTCAAGAAGAGTGAAAATCAGATCTTAATATTTTCAGCAATACTTAAAATAAGTTGTTTAAATGGTTTACAATATCTATTTGATCTACCAGTTTCAGTCCATTTTGAAACAGTTGAACATATCACAAAAATTAGCTGACACTCTGAACCCATTTTAGAAGGTGAAATTTTATAAAGCATGTGCACACATTTCCTAATAGAATGGAAAAGTTTTAGAATGTAAGCATTTGGGGCTAAAACTAGCACCTGCTTTAAACCAGGCTTGCTTCAGACTTTTGCTGGATGAAAAGGTACTTTTCAGCGCCATAGACAGTAACTGACACTCTACAGATTCAACTGCATAGAGTAATATGCTAATACCTTAAATTTTACCTTGAAATTCATCCTATGGATTATCATTTTCTTAGAAAGGATTCAGTTGCATTTTACCTGCCATCTTGAAAAATAGAAAACCAGATTAGCAGCCAAACAATCACAATTTTACATGAAGTCCAAATATTTCATGACTGTGACAAAATATTAATAAAAGGGATTTTAATTCAGTGACAGGATCTGGCTTAAGCAAAAACGCTAAAGAATTAATTACTACAGTGCTCTAGAATTGGTCTCAGAAAGCAACTGAGGAACTGGATGTCTAATGTAGTTTTCATACTGATACAATGGAACCACTGAACATATTCTTATTCATGCATTTCTTATCTTAGAGCTCCATTAAATTTTCACCATAACTGACCAATGAGTCAGTATTCATTAGTAGAGCTATGGAAAATCTATGTAAAATTCTGATTTGATAAGCTTCCATTGTTGTCTTCAGTAGAATTTTTTTCCCCCCAAATACAGATCAAGTTAAGCAAATATAGTCACTTCTTGGGCTTGTTTCAGTTTTAGCTGTGAACTCTTTTTTTAAGGCTTTTATTGAGTTTTTGTTTTTTCCCAACTAAGTAAAAGGCATTAAGCCAATTCTTAAAAATACCTGGCCAGTCAACTTTAGCACTTTGATCTATTATATTATTATATTTAAGGAGAAGAGTTAGAAAAAGCAATAAAATCAGTATTTTTAAGCAGTTAAGAAAAATCACATAAAATAAATTAATGATTAATGGTTAAATGGTTAATTTCTCTCAGCAAAATGACTCAACTCTTTCAAAGGGAAGAATTATTTAAGGGATAATGGCCTTTAAAATTGTTCTGCAGTGCATTGGGCCAAAGAATCTGTATTATAGCCTTTAAACTGTCTAATCTTCCAGATCTGCACAAAGGGCCTCCATTACCAAGATTTAGGAAAGCTTGGCAGTTTGGGCCTTACAGTTGTGCTTCTTGAGTGCAGGGCCACAGCCACTTTTCAAGGTATTTACTCTTTCATGTAAAGTTACCACCAGGTTGAGAAGGCCGAGCTTTGAATTCAGCCAGCCTTTATGGAGCACCACCACGGGGGCAGGAAGGGCTGTGTTTTATTGACTTTATAACACTCTTCAGTGTAATGTCTACAAAGAACTTTATGTGAAAAGAGAATTGCCCCACTGTCCTGCAGTCTACACTCAATCACAAACCCTTTCTTCAAAACCTGTGTTTTGGGCACATGGAGACCTGTCCAGTGATTTCATTGGCCAGAATCTAGACCTGGAAACAATCACTTAATGGAGCCCTGCTTTCTAATTTCTTTAATATGACTAATGAAAAGGGTACCTTGTGATGCCAGGAAAAAGAAGGGCCAACAGACAACTCTGAATGATTGTTCAATGGAAAGAAATCTTAATAGCTCAGGTGGGCGTCACGATTGCTGTGCCATTGCAATGGTAGCTTCTGAAAAGCTCTCCAAGTGCATTCATGTTTGCCAAGGGAACGGTGAGCCCTTTTTAAGTATGAGTTTATTACATTGAGAATCTCACTGGAAGCAACACTTGAATCAGTTTAATATGTAAATTATAGGCAAAAGGGTACATTTTACGGTGGTAGGTATATTTGTACGTATCCTCTGCTTGCTTTTGGAACTGAACTAATAGCTCTTTAGTGACAGTCAAACTACCTTATGTAATCTTTCAAATAACAGCATTGACATGCAAGAATAAAAAAAATGCAGTTTTTAAGAAAGATAATTAATTTTTGGCTTTTTAGGAGTAACTAGTATTTTCTTATATCAAAATAATAGGCTCAGAGAGGATTGTATGTTTAGAAAATAGTTTCATTTATCTTAATATGGACAAAACCATACTGGAAGGCATTAGTAGAAAGTGAAATTAATGTTGTGCTACTTCTACTTTTTAATCAGTATATTATAAACAATCTTTTTAGAGATTTAATGGTACACCTCAAGGATTTATGATGAAAAACAGTGTTTCCCAGCCTCATCCCAATTTCCCAGTTCTGCTCCATAAGGGATACTACTTTAAGTGGTTTCTATTTATTGTTCTTCTAGAGATTGTTTCCATATCTATATCCTTGTTATTCAGGGTGCAGGTCATTTGCCTGCTTGTTCTTGTCAATATCTTCTTTACCTTCAATGTTGTAATGTTTTTCTTTATCAATCCTAGATAATTCCCCTAGATTTCTGATGCAATAGGCATGAATTTTACTCAATCACACCAAGCCTAATCTACCTGGCCCTTCTGCTCCACATATACTCATAGTCAAATACAAATGGTCTCACAGCATCCGTTAACTTTTTACAGAACTTGCAACATACATACATCTCTACCTGCTATTTCATTAACCCTAGAAAATTGAGACATAAGCCTCCATTGGTAAGATGAGGAAGGTAGTGCCCCTTAGTCTCTTGTCTCCTCTGCCTTCTCTACTGTACCTATATATCATACAAATTTATGTTATTAAAGCAGTCCCCAACCTTTTTGGCATCAGGGACTAGTTTCATGGAAGACAGTTTTTCCACAGACTTGGGGTGGGGGAGAGAGGTGGTTTTGGGATGATTCAAGCACATTACATTTATTGTGCACTTTATTTCTATTATTATTACATTGTAATATATAATGAAATAGTTATACAACTCACCATAATGCAAACTCAGTGGGAGCCCTGAGCTTGTTTTCTGGTAACTAATGCTGCCACTGATCTAATGGGAGATCAGGCAGTGATGCAAGCAATGAGGAGCAGCTATAAATACAGATGAAGCTTCACTCCCTTGCCAGCCACTTACCTCCTGCTGCGTGGCCCAGTTCCTAACAGGCCTTGGACCACCAGTACCAGTCCATGGCTTGGGAGTTGGGGACTGCAGATTTTACCTGTTTCTTTAATTATGACATTTTATAAGTTATTTTTAAAAGTAAAAAAATAAAAAAGCAATTGCCATACTATCATACTTATGTAAGGTTCTTTACTGCAGGACCAAGTATTAGACTTCCTTCTCTGTTCTCACAATATCATAGCCCCTGTGATTCTCAAAAGTAATGTCCCTGATTATGGTGCAAAAAATTCCCCTATCTTTTACATTTGAGGATTGTTAATAATTTTATGCTGTTTCACACCAATCTCCATATTTTTTTCCATTTTATGGATGTAAATGTGAACAAAAATCAGTTTTAATTAGTCACATAAATATTACAGAATTTTGACGAAGTCATATGCCAGATTATATTGACATATCCATGGGTTGTATGCTATGACTTAATGGGCCACACAAGCTATAATGTTCTTGATTTCAATGCTTATGCTCCATCATTTTCTTGTAATCATGGTATCATTTTGTTTGATCTATTTTTTTGATTGTGAATTTCTTGTACAGATTCTCCCTTTCCCAGAGTTTCATTTCTTCTTGCTTTTGGGGCCTTTATGTCATCATAGGCTTTCATCCCCCCAAACTGTCTATGTATTCTAGTCTTCCACTCCCTAGATTTTTCCCCTGATTATCTTCTTCTAAAACCCTTCCATCCTCTTAC